CAAAATTTTTCCTAAAAAACCCAAATTTTTGAACACATGACAAAAAACATTCCAGATGTAACTTGCATTAACTCGATTATAGATACAAGAACATTTCATCCCTCTGTTGAAAGGTTTGGTCATTAGGTATAACGTGTTCTGAAGGTCCTCCATCTCCACAAGCTTATCACCAGTAATCTCATTCTTAACTTCAAGAAATTTCTCGCCTAATTGTTAGTAAAAAAGTGTCGTAAACCAGTCTATATACTGATGGAGCTTAACAAAGCTTCCTGGCAGAGCTACATCTGCTCTCGTTGCCACTTTCTCAGAATTTATGGACATATGTTAAGTATGGTTTAAAGAATAACCAGAAGTCTGTTACTAGCTAAACTCTTAGCCATTACACTGGCTCTGAAGCTAACTTATAACAATGAACCTGATTACTTCATCATTACCAGTGCTATATCGCCACTAAGTGCACTCGCCTTACACACGACTCTTAGATTTAGAAAAGCCAGGTAGAGATATATAAAAATATCAGAAAGTAATTAATGTACAGTTATAAGGAATTACATCTGTCATTGATTTGCATGATAAAAATTGATATTATGGTAACCAAAGAAAGAAGTCTTCAGAAAGTCGAATGAAACTTTGATCTGTCTGTGCTAAGCATTAAAAAATATAATTAGATTATTAAACAATGCATCTGAATGTTACAGGAACACAGTTTGAGGACATATTAAATCTAAAGCCTAATATGATAACATGAATGTAAACAAATACATTTACAATGTAAATTAAAATGTAAACAGGGTGACGGATGTAGCAGTATCTTGGCTTAGGCTTCGTTACAGATACTGAGGCAGACTGGCACAGACAACCATAAAACAAAATGCAAAATATGCAGAGAGAGGAAGGAAGGGGGGAGGGAAGGTCTGTATTAGTTGACACTCTTGAAATTGGGACCAAAATATCAAATATTGGTTCAGGTAATATGTGTTCATGTTTATATCGACACGTCAAGGAATCTCTCTCTCTCTCTCTCACTCACTCTCTCTCTCTCTCCTCTCTCCATCTCTCCATCCCTCTCTCCACCTCTCTCCTCACTCTCTCTACCTCTCTCTCCTCCACACACAACAAACTAACACAAAACCGAAACATCAACACACACTTCTTATCACATCAAAGCATCATTGGTCGCTCAAAGTTAGTTTATCATGTAAGTTTACCTAGAAATGGCACGGAAACACTCTGGATGTCACCCACCTCCTCCTGCAAACACCAAGACTTCAACTATTTCACCTATTCACGTGAGCACACCCGCCAACTTGAAAAAAAAAACTTTCTACTCGCCCACCTCAAACCACCTACCACTTAGTTGCAACCGCCTACCTCCCGCCCCCCATCACACAGGTTCGAATACCAGCCCAAAAGTCAACCCATCAGCCTCAAAAATCTCAACCAAACCCACTCTCCCACCCGTGAATATTTCACATACTGAGGCTGATGATTAAAACATGTATGTAACAGACATCTTTATTGTTGAAACGTTTCGCCTACACAGTAGTCTTCTTCAGTTAAATAGAGAGACAACAGGTGTAGTAGTGAAATGAAGATTATGTAATCAGTCCATCAACTTGAAAGAAAAATTATTGGAGGTGGTCAGTCCCTCAACCTGGAGAAGAGTTCAGCTCCATGGCTGAGGGACTGATTACCTCAAACACCTTCTGAACTCAAACCAGTTTTCTTTGCATTGGACTGAGGAATCCACTGGTTGGCTGCTCGTTTCCACAGTTAAGATACCCAAGTGTTGCACAAGTGTAAAATTCAGCATTCCCATCGTCTCTTCTCGCCCCAGCATCGAACTTGGGTTCTTCAGTTGTGGGATGAACAAGCTACCACTGAGCTGCGGCTGATTTTGGATTGTTCGTTTTCTTTTTCATTGTCTTTGTATATCCAAATTTATTTAATGTGTTGTTGTATTTCCTTGTTTATCACATAACTCTGCTGATACATCACTACCTTGGTTACTGAACTGTCTGTGTACACGTTCATGTAGGCATGTGTGTATATTTGTCTGTGTCTGTATATGTTAGCAAGTGTGTGTGTACACTGTCATGGAAGACACATTAATAGGTGTGGTTTTTTTTGGGTACTAATACCACCACTAATAATAATAATAATAATAATAATAATAATAATAATAATATCAGTAATAATAATACAGTAATAATAACGGTAATAGTTATCATGTGTCATTCGCCTGGCAGGTTCCTACTCTTCAAATTATACCATCTTCTCTTATTGCAATAATATCTGTCACCTGTAAATGCAATTAGAGGCGGGGGCGCGCGCGACACACACACACACACACACACACACACACACACACACACACACCCCACACACACACACACACCCCACACACACACACACACACACAAGGAGATTATAGAAGAGCCAGAAACGAGTATGCACAGATAAGGAGGGAGGCCCAGCGACAGTATGAAAACGACATAGCATCGAAAGTCAAATCTGACCCGAAACTGTTGTATAGCCACATTAGGAGGAAGACAACAGTCAAGGACCAGGTGATAAGGCTGAGGAAAGAAGGTGGAAAACTCACAAGAAACGATCAAGAGGTATGTGAGGAGCTCAACACGAGATTTAAGGAAGTATTACAGTAGAGACGGGAAAGGGACTCTGGGGGACAGACAAAATGGGGACACCAGCAAGGAAATACACCAAGTGTTGGACGACATAAAACAGATGAGGGGGTGAAGAACTGCTAAGGACATCGATACC